ATGAAAAGAAGGTAAAAATTGAGTAACGCCTGGTTTAAAATTAAAATGAGATGCATCGGGAGGAAAAACTATGCAAGATGGTGCACTTGTTCTTGTGGGGTTCATGTGGTCTCTAAGTGTTCTAGCACGGTAATTCTCATTATTCTCATTATGAAGTGATTGATTATCTTCTTCGGTCATATTTTCTGAAAATGATGAGGATACCCTACAAAGTCTACCACTTGATGTATGTGACCACACTCTCATGCACGTGTAGGAATAGAATAAAAGGAAAAAGAAAACAAAAGAAAAAGAAACAAGAGAAAAGAAACAAAGTTATATATAAGAAAAGTGAAAAGAGAAAATACAATAAATATTATAATTTATACAAGAATTTACCTCCCTAGCAACGATGCCAAAAACTTGACACGACTAAAAGATTGATGTCTTCTCCCAAGTGCAGGAGTGTCAAAGTAATAAATAACCCAGCAAGACCGGGGTCAAACCACAGGGAGGTTAATTGTACAAATTATAAATAACAATTATAAACAACAACAATAGTAACAACAATAACAATAATAATAATAGTAGTAACAATAATAATAATAATAATAGTAGTAGTAGTAGTAGTAGTAGTAATAACAATAACAATAACAATAATAATAATAATAATAATAATAATAATAATAATAATAATAATAAAGAAAAAGAAGGAGAAGAAGAAGAAGAAGATGAAAACTTTGAGATGGAATATTAATGTAAGGATTAAACAATGATAATAACAAATGTCAAGGTTAGAGGTTCCACTAATGGTATGTCAAACAAGTATAGTAGAAACTCTTATTATTCAATTGGAAACCACACACAAAGGAGGTTCCAATCAGATTATAGATTGTTAACATGATTACATTAGTCATCTTATTCGATTAATGCTAGTACTTGTAAATCTCGACAAGCATTCATGATTATAACTTATGTTAACAACAAATCAAGTTCCCTTCATAGCTCAGGTGTCGGTTATACCATACAGTATGAACTATGAAAGTGTCAAGCATTTGTTGTATCAAGTGTTATACAACATAAATCAAGATTAGTCATTTAACAAGCAAAGTATTAAAGAGTGAATAAGATAACAAATACAAAACATGTTAGTATCAAACATTAAAGTCCATATTAAGTTTACACTATAGTTATTCTTACACCATTAGTGTAACCTTTTCACCATGACATAATAAACTTAGCTAGACATAATGAAAGAAAGAAAAATAAATAAATAAAATAAGAACATAAATAAGATAAGAGTTAACTAAGTAAAGGAAAGGAAATGAAAGGCATAAACTTGATATTAATGAAAGCAAAGCATAAACATTACAAAAAATACAAAGAAAGAAAGCAAGAGCATGATCTTAATCTGGAGACCAAGATACCTAAATGCATTGTAAATGCCTCCTTTTATAGGCCAAAATTGGGAACTATTGATTTGATGACTAATTGATGAGTGGGTGGCCAACTCTTGACTTGGTGACAATCTTTATCTTCTCTTGTCTGCCCAAAAAGTCATTGATAACGTCAAAATTGGATCCACTCGAAAACATGAAAGTTGTAGGCAATTGTCTTAGATTTCTTGTGTAAAAACGTCAGCTCATTTGGACTTTTAAACTCCAGATATGGCCAAAATACTGAATAGTACTTGGGCTGGAGGACAGCTTCAGGCTTCTTTGTTGTTGTAATAATTTGGATTTGAAAATGGCCTTTTTAGATCTTGGGCTCCATATGAAAGTTGTAGGCCTATGTCTTACCTTTCCATCCATATAAACTAGACATAAATCTGAGATCTATAGCTCCAGATATGACCTAATTACCGAATAGTGTTCTGGTTTGGATTGCACCGACATCTCTTTTCTAATTTTGGTCATCTCTTTGCCCTTGCAATTTAAGTTTTTAAAGTCATCAATCAATCCTTTCATTTATGTGATAGACCTGTATTTAAAATGAACATTTACCATAAATTAAATGTATCTTATATTATTAGATATATTATTATAAAACATGCTTTAGTTAAGGAGTTATTGATACTTCAAGTACAAAATGATGATATAAAACCTTGATAAAAATGCAATTTTAAGTACTAATTAGTAATATTTAGGAAGATAAGGCAATGATAGCTTTGAATCAACAATTGACATGAGCTCACAAGAAAGCCATGTCAAAAGAAAACACTACAAATATTATAGATTGCCTTGATAAAGGTCCTGCCTGGATAAACAATGATGACTGGAATCAAATGATCAAAGATGTTTGGTCCACTCCTGAATTTCAAAGGAGGTCTGAATCTGCTAGGAGGAATCGATTAACCAAAACAAATGGCAAAATAAGCACTCATTCTGGAGGAACAATGTCATTTGCATCATATCAAGCTAACATGGTAAGGATTTTTTTAATGCTTAAGATAATAAATTAAAATTTGTATATTTATCTTTTATAATATTTATTAATCTTGAAAGCAAGAGGAAGCTGGTGGAAAAGAACTTCCATGGGATGATGTCTTTTTAGCTTTGCATCAAAGTACTAAGCAGTCTGGTAGCTTCGTCAACAACAAGTCTAAAAAAATGGTTGTATGTATTTTTATTTGATTATTTCTTAATATAACTTAAGTATTATTTAACATTCAAATGAATTTATTTTTGTATGTATTTTATTTGTAGGAAAATTATAAAATGGAGATGATTTCAAAGTATGGAACTAATCGGGAAAATCATCCTTTATTTGATGGAGTAGCTTGGTGTGTGGCTTTAGGAGGAGTTACAAAGGGTAGGGTATATGGTGCACCTCGTATGCTAAAATCTATAGTTAGTACAAGCTCTTCATCACATTCCTACTCGATGGAGTCATCATATCCCAATTCATCGTATCGAGCATTGTAAAAGGAGATAAAGGATAAAGAAGAGGAGATAAAGAAAAAAGATGAATTTATTCTTGAAATGAAACGATAGATGGATTCCATGAAAGAATATCTTGTGAACAATCTTAGATACCATGGTGGGACATCAAATATTGACCAAGGTATGCCACCATCTTTGACTCCATCAATACCGTCACCTATGGCTCCTCAGATAATGACACCTATGGGTCCCACATCTCAATCAATTTTTTGACCTACACCTTAACCTTTATATCCTGATCAATCTTGTGTTGATCCACAATATCATGGTTCGTCTTTGCAACCAGCACCATGATTGTATCTTTTGTTGTTTTTTTTTTTATTGTATTTGAACTTAATTGTATTAATGCAAGTTTAACTAAATTTTTATAATATGAATATTATTTTTATTCTATTTTTTATTAATGATACAATTATTTTTAATATTAATTTATGTTGGTTATATATATTCTAAAACTTTTAAAATATCCATAAATAATTAATTAAATAAATTAAAAGTCATTTTAATAAATAAATAAAAAATAATTTAATAAAAAATAATATAATTACCAACAGATTCTACGTTGTGATTGTAACTAATACATCAATCAGCAATGAAGAATCCGTTGCTGATTCACAAAACTAGCAACAAATTTATCCGTTGATAAAATGAGCAACGGATTATCCGTTGCTAATTGTAAGCAACAGATTTTTTATTACTAAAAAATTAGCAACGACAAATCTGCATTTGATTTTAGTACTGCTAATTACTATATTTTTTAGTAGTGCTTGATAAAGAGCACGGCTAAGAAGAACCCAACAGATCAGTAGCTAACATTAAGAGAAAAATGATCCTGCTCATGGAAATGGAAAACTAGGAAAAACAGAGTCTGGAATTTGCGAAATAGAGAAGGGATGGACAAGCTTTTGCTGTCAAATAATCTTCTGTGCCTCTCCTCCCAAAGTATGTAAACAAGAATTCCAAGAGATACACACCTGATTTTGCCATCAGCATTATTTCCACCCCTACGCAGCCACCGAATGGCACTGCTTAAGGATGACATACACCTTGCTATACGCAGCCAGTTTCTAATCATTCGCCAAAGAAGGGACAAGGGGAATCCGACTGTTTAATTAAAACAAAGTATTGCGCCGGTATGCAAACTAGTTCAAATTAAAGAAAACTGCTACGACGCAAACCTTTTTCATGAGAGAAAGTCATCGGAGCACTTGATAGTTGATAATCTCTACTAACAACAAACTAACGGAAATGAATAGGAGATGTTCTGCAGCTGGGGGGCACATAGCTTTTCCATAAAGTGGCTCGGACATCATCCTCATATTGCTTGACGGTTTTTCTTCGAGCCCACCACTTCATGCATTATTTCCCAATTGTTATTTATGTATTCGGTTTTGATATCCAGCGTGGGGTTTAGACTTCGTTGAATTGGCAGGTAAATAGATTAAATTGTATCTATGTAAAATTCAAAAAGATGAAGAGATCATGATCATAATTTACAGCAGAGACAGGGACCTGCAATTTCATATTCTTTGCTTCAATGCACCCATAAATTCAAGTAGATGAGACAGGTGCACTCAATCCTTACAGTGATTCAGGAATGCCACGTCCCTTGGTCCTGTGACACCACTGACTGCATAAATTCAGAAAATTGTTTTTTAGTAGATCTCCTTTGGCAGTAGTAATTTAATGCTGGTACAAGAAGAAGAAGAGAAATTAACGAAGAAAAAGATAAGGAGAAGCTCCTTGATTATCTTGATATTTTCCACAGCACACAACTGTTTATTATAAATGCCATACAGGAATTGACTTCGTATTTGAATTTTTCTAACAACAATGCTGCAAATAGATAGCTGCTATGAGGAAATTTTTGGCAGCATAAAGTATATTTTTTTTTATAAGACTCAAGTTATTTTTTATTCTCGATGTAACCAACATAAGGCTTCATGGAAGATCCTAGCCACAAAAAGCCACTATATTCTTCAACTTCGCTCACAGAATCGAGAGCATTGCCACCATTTCCATCCAATACATTAACCACTTCACCACCTGAAGTCAGTCTAACTGCCACAGGATCATCCGCAAACCAGTCAATAGAAGTTTCTTGTTGTAGTTTTGTAGACTCCAATCTCCGAATCTTCCCTCTTCCAGTATTTAGCGCAACCCAAAATTCTCCATTAGCTGTCCTCTTAATGTTATCAGGGAATCTTCCCAGTTGAATAAAAATTTCCTGTCCATGTATTTCAGAACCCACAAGGTGAAACTTTAAGATTCGCATTGTAAATGATTCGGCAACTAGAATAAACGAATTGTCCTTGCTTAGAGCCACTCCATTTGGAAATGCTAAGCCTTTGAGCAGCACTGTCACTTTTTTGCTATTTGGATCATATTTCATTAACCTTCCAGTTCTATCAGCGTTTATGATTGCCAGTAAATACTCCCTGCATGATCAAAGAACTAAAATAGTAATTTCTGGGTAGGGTACTATACCAAAAACATTTAAGTTGCTGAAAAAATTAGCTAGCTAGAGAAGAAAGAAGAGAAAAGGCTGGAAACAGTAGTACCTTCTTTGGAAATAAATGCTATTGTCAGTGAAATAAACCATACCTGTTCTGGAATCAACATCCAAAGCATTCATGAATCTGAAGGGAACTCCTTCAGCTGAAGCAGCAAGTTGTGTAGCCACTCCACCATCTGGTCCTACTACTAAGAGTCCATAGTACGCGTCTGCAATGTAGAGATCACAAGTTGCAGAGTTGAATTTGAGGCCTAGTGGTCTTTCACACACCGGTTCCAGTTTGGTGTTTGTTGAGCCATCACACATCTGTCTATCTCTATTGGAATCAAGTTAAAAACCCACAATCAGTTATCACCATTAGCTGCAACTTGCAGGAGTACTGCAAGGTCTGTATAAGTTTTGACTATCAATCAATCACTACCAAGACATGAATTGAATGTTGCATAATTGCGACTCTTTTAACACTTTAATAGCCACATAAAGGTTCTGTCTGATCTTGCTACTCTACAAGCAAAGGAGAAAAGTTCTGACGCTGCTACACTTATAAGCAAAAACAAGTTTTCTATCCAATTTTTAGAAGTAGAAATACTTGATCATTTTTTTTTTGAAAAATACAAACAAGTTCTCTGAAAAAAGAAAGTAAAACTTAATCACTAGAAAAGCTCCTTTTTTTTCTGGCATTCCTTACGATCAGCCTTAAAATATATATCATGTTTTACTTACTTACAGGAACAATACAGCCCCCCCAAAGAAATCTCCATTTTAGTTAACAATTAAGAGAGAGTTTGGGTGTGAGGTGTGGTAGTTTTTTTTTTAAGATATCACTCTTTTAAAGCACACACCACATTTTCTAAAAGCAAAATATATATGTTTTTAGTAAGAGATATGATAGCTTTTAAAAAAAAACTAACCACACCTCCTACCCAAACACCCTCTAAATAAAATATTCAAGTTTTTCTTGTTTTGGGTTATGCCTCGTATTTAATTTATTTTTTTATTTAAAAAAAGCCAGAGAAAGTCAGCAAAAGATCTCACGTTAAGCCTTGAAGAGTACAGTAAGAAATTAGTAAATTGGACCGATACCAAAAAATGGTTTTCTCGTAGTTGTTGAAGTTCAATTAAGGAGAGAGCAAGTTGATTGTCCGCTGAACGGATATATTGTTTATTTTTTCTCAGCTAGCTCGATCTGACTTTGATAATAGGTAATGACAAGATTGGATGTGAAATCTTGAAGATACATGCAAGTCTTGACGTTCTTCTTTGTATTTTTTGACCAGGAGCACTACTCTTGATGTTATTTAATATTTTTGTCTAGAGGATAATATATAATGTTGTAAGCTTCACTTGAAATAGATATAAATTCTAGATACTTTAATTTAATTTATAATATTGTTATTATATATTATGTATTGAGAAAAGGAATCATTATATGGTCCACATCTCCCAATAAATCACATAAAAATTATCTCCATTTATACATGCCGGCTCAAACAACTGTTGCTTGTTCTTTTCTCTTCCTGCTCCAACACAAGCCATGTTCAATGAGGAAATTCAATGATATTGGTAGCTGGCTAGCTAGACCTTGATAAAGGTAGTATGTGTTCTTTGATAATGTCTTTGTATTTTTTTTTGAGTTT